AAAAACTGCAAAGCAAATTCTTATTCATAGAAATATGTAAGATATATTGTGGCTACCATTATCGAATTAAAATCATTATGTATAATAAATTTAGAGAGGCTTACAAGCTATCAAAAAATATTTTGGCATGCAAAAATGAAACTAGAATCAAGATCAGATAAAAACAGTTTTATAGTTATGAAATTCTGATGTTGAGAAAATGATTTCATTATATCCGCATATGAAATCTCAGAAATTATGGATAAGAAAATTTTCACACTACTATCGAGACCTTTAATAGTATTCTAACATTCTAATCTTTCATCGCCTTGAATCTTGAAACTTTTGATATTCATATTTTAAATGTAAAATTTTTACAATATCAATTTTTAGAATTGAATAGTGATAACATTTCAAATAATCTTGATAATTGATTCTCACTCATGTATTAGGACCCTGCACTAAAATTGATCATTTAATTCCAAATTTTTCCGAATGATAACTATCATAGAAAAAATTCAAATAGTCGCTTGAATAGAGAAAGATTTTTTTTCCAATACGGATCACATCCTGTTGAAAACACTACTCTTATCTTAAGTATTTCATATTAATTGAAATTTTACGTTTGTCTTTTAGAATCACGAGTGAAAGAGAAATTATTCTTTATTTCTGAATCATATAAAATTCTTTGTTCACCACAAAGAACATTACTTGATCAGGTTTGAATCTATATCAATAAATTAATAAAAAAAAATTTCATATATTATTTTCAGTAGAATTATCTTAAATCATTACCACATCATTTATTTGGTTCTTGGGAAATGGAAAAAAGAAAACGACCATATTTTTCTATTGTTATGCAACGATTATTAGAAAGTGTACCTAATCGTTTTTATGTAAAAAGTGCTTTTCTTTTGAAACATTTCAAAAGTCCTGGTATGTCAATGAAAATATTAGATTTCGAAATAATTGAATAGAAAATATTTCAGATATTATTATTTGTCTAAATACTAAACAACAACCACAAAGTATTCCAAATGGAATGGTAAAACGTATTGGTTTGTTTGATGAGACCGAAAATAAATGTTCATTGTAAGTTATTCAAAATTTTCTCTTGGAATTCAACAACAAGTCTTAAAAAATAACGGAAAGTTTCACAAGAAAAATTTTTGTAAAGCAAATAATTTTCTATAAAACAG